TAACTGTGACGCTGCTAACCGAGTCGGGCGAAAAAGAGAAGCCTCGCATTTAAGTTATATCCACATCGTCTTAATTTCATTAAGACATTTATCATCATAAGTACACCTTAATCGAGATTGCGAAATACACCTCAGATAATGTGCCACAATACAAAAATGTAAGACATTACGCAATGTAGACTTTAAAACTATGAAAAAGTAACATAATGCTAATATCACCTTTTTGATGTTTGTTAGAGGAGGAAGCTAAAGGGAAGGGGAGGGACAAAGAGACTCACCGCACAAGCGCCACTGAGGTCCACTCTTCGCCATGTCAGCTAGTATATCTAACCAAGCGTGCTCATCATCTTTCGGTCTCCTCATAAAACATTTATTTGTCATATTTGGTCTCTGTATACCAATTGCTGTTTAACCTTGAGAAATGGATGTAATGCCTTCCGAAATTTTATCCCTGACTGAATGTCACCTACCTCACTTGGAAGCCTGTTCCATAGTACGGAGTGTCGGTTAACGAAAAAGTTGTTCGAATACTTAGTTTTTTCTCTTTTCACTATTGTTTCTGGTGCGATACATTACCGGATCTTTTAGTTGTAGTACCGGATTTGATGGATGTATTTTTCTGGTTAGGATGTCAAAAAAGACGAAAACGTTGTTTCATCCTGCGCAACAATAATGGATCAAGTTGTAAGTTAACGCATCGATCGATCTATAATAATGTAGAGGAATAGCCCATGAGACGTTCGCTAAATGACCGTTGCACTCCCTCTAATACTATACGATCACCCAATCTGGTACTGAAATAGATTATGGAGCCATCATGTAGTATTGAATGTGTTTTTATTTTGTACGTGGCGTTAGTTGACTCTTTCAAAGTGAATGCTTTGTACAGATGCCCGATGCTCCGCCGAGCATGAGCTACACTAAGTTCGACGTGCTCAGCAGAGTTTAGGGTGCCCGAGTAGGTCACAGATGATATGGCATTGAGACAGTGGTTTACCGTCAGTAGTAAGAGAACCAGATTTGATTTCACATCTGTAGGATACTCCGTGGCATTTGTCAACGGAGAATGATATTTTCCACTTGGAACACCATGAATCACGTTGGATTGTGCTGAGGATATCACACGCCATTTGGATTAGAAGTGTAAATAATCTTTATATCATCGGCTACCATAAAAACAGGCAGTTCCTGTTTGTTGGAGTCTATTATCTGCAGTTCGACGGAGTTGCCGTTGGTTCACCCCTAGGGCCCCTTTTCGCAGACGTCTTTCTCGCTAAAATTGAACCTGGTCCTGTGCAGACTGTTACTACGTCACTGGATGTACATGGATGACACGTTTGTTGTCTGTGACTCTAACCTTGACGTCACTGGTTTACTCGATCAACTCAACGGTGCACACCAATCACTGAGGTTCACTAAAGCAATCGAACGATAAGGACAATTGGCGTTCTTGGACGTACTACTGAGACGGGAAGACGGTTCTCTTAAGAGAAGTGTCTTCCGGAAGGATTCGTGACCTGGACAATTCACGCATTTTCTAAGTTTCTTGCCCCTGAAGTATAAACGTAACTTAGTTCGCTGCTTGTATCACCGCCTACAAAATCTGTAGCCCTGAGTCGTTAGAAAAGGAGAAAGAATGCATGTTCGAGACACTATTTTCAAACGACTATCCTGCCTCATTTATCAAAAAGCATACCACAATCCGTGAGCACAGTGAGCCTCTCAGCCTAGTCCCAAAAAAGGGTGTTTTTCTTACGGTTCCCTTTAAGGGTGACATCGCTTTCGACATGATTTTTTACACTTCGTACACTTGAACCCAAATTATCGTCATCCACTGACGACTATATTCCTCACGATTACTTCTTCAATTTCAGCAGTCTGTACAACTTTCAGCCACTGCCAATTACATACATAGCAACCTATCTGTTGCGAAACATAACTGCTTGTAAATTTCGATCATGCCTGATTTGATGTCTCAATAAATTCGAGAATAAACTGTTTATTTAGTTGAAGACTTTCCGCCGCAGTGACCAAAAACCTATCCTGCAGCCAATCCGCAGGTTCTTGCGGAGACCACCCCATTTATTACTCAACGCCTTAAGGACAGATTACCGTTCAAATCTGAATGGTATGTGGTATATCAATTTACTTACACCTGTGGTGCGAAGTATCTCGGGGCCTGTCGACAAGGATAGCTGAGCAGTACCCGGATCTCCGCGTAAAATTATTGTAAAATTATTGCTACCGTCCACCTCAAGCCAGGCAGTCCCTGGTCAAACTGGTGCAAACCCACCTGAGTCTGGCCTCGGTCGCAGGTACATTTCTTACTGCGGTCGCAATGTTTTGCGAGTCGTTCCTGTACCTCCAAGGCTGCGTGTGACGGCCGTCAAGCAGATCCCAATCTGTCTCTGCAATCACATTCCCTAGCTGGATCTGCTCTCCACTGCCTTGCGGGTCAGGCTATTAGGCCAAATGCTCCGAGCGGAGTCCCTCAAACAAACCTCCGAAGCACCACCACCACCTCGCGTGCGATTGCCCACCAATGCAATCGTATGCCTGCGCGCAAAACACAGCATCGGATGCTGGAACGTGCGCACACTACTGGACCGGGACGAGTGAGCCTCTCGAGCAAGGCACTGCACTGGTCGCGATGGAACTGGGACACTACCACATTGATAA